ATAGTCCGTAATAACATTATCCAAAAAGAATAAACTATGGCCAGAACAAAACACAATTTACCACCGTTTTGGAATTCTATTTATTGACATATTGATGGTCTTTTCGAGCCAAACATGTGACCTTTGTGAGCATTTATGCAATGCGACACACGTGTTTCGGCCTTGGTAGCCACGTCAGTGGCAAGAGTGTTTTTCGGTTAGTACAGTTTCTGTAAGGAGGATATACTTCTATAAAGAGGAATCAAAGCCAAGCATTTACACTCAACATAACGGTAAAGAGATCACCGTGGTATTCTTTCAGAGTGATTGACTGTCGTTTTCTTGGCTTACGGCGATTCACACCACTAATATAGTATATGTATATATATGAGAGCGCAGGTGGTCGCAGTGGTTAGGGTGTGCTCTGAGTTGTAAACAAGGTCGCTGTTGCTATTTCGGGCTCATGGCTCACACAAGCCACACCATCCTGTATTAGTAGAGCTTCTATATATACATATATATATATGTATATATAGTATATATATATACTATATATATGCTAGCGTGTGCCGAGCCTACTAACGGCAATCGCCAATCAATCACTTTGACAAGAACGCCACGAGTACGTTGTAGTGTAAATAGGTCGACGTAGATGTTCTCTACATAAGTCTATATCCTGCTGGCTGGCTGATCAGACGGAGCATCGTGCTACTGATGATGGCTCAAAGGCTTGAAACATGTATAGCTCTCTAAAAGTGCCATAAGTGCAAGAAAGGCTTGGAATATGCTGTAAGGGATGTGATAATTTCGAGGTAGAAAATTTTAAGTGTAATTTTAAGCGAAACATTTTTATCGAGTAAGAGCCCATGAAGAATAGGTTAGTTGCAAATGTTACTATGATGACGATTTTGCAGTTCGAACAAACGAAACCCAAGGTTTACTGTGACACTATCTATTTCGGCTGATTCTTTAAGAGCTCTTTCGCTTAAAAGTCCCACTGATCCACTGGTGGGACCAAGAGTTTTCGAGTTTTTGAATGGCAAAGTAGTCCTGGGCATTTACTTAAGTTCGAGGAACTCATATTATCTGTTTAGTGTTCAATCTGTGATTTTCGTTTGTGCGGTTGACACACCCTTTTTTTTGAGACCAATCGCTGCACTGAGAGTCACCCTTTTTCTATAAGGGAATAATCTTAGTGTAAAAATCCCACTGCAAGTTGATAAAGGAAACTTCAAACTCGTCAAAAATTAAGAATTAAACTCCAAAGAAAATGTTATGAAAAGTAGTGGCTGAAGGAAAGCCAGATAGAGCGACAATTTTATTAAGTGAAACCCATAAAGAAGTAACACTTTCATGCCACATGTCAGTTGCTTTGGAGTTATGAACTTCTGAGAGGATTTGTATGATTCCGGTATCAACTATATTCTATGATTATTCTCCGCTACCGTTGTTTCACAAAATATATCGCAACAGGGCGGTATATTCTGTTTTAATTTAGGCCTCTGTTGCATTATCCCAATATTCTAACAATATCACGTTATACAACAGATACAGTATCTAGTGCAAAACATGATTACATAAAACATTGAAAGGAATGAGTGGTGACGCTATTGGACATCCGTTGGTGTAATAGTAGCACAGCGGTCCCCGGTAGTGATGACCTCGCGGGTTCAACTCTTATCTAAGGTTCGTGTTTTTGCTCACCAGTTCATTTCTCTTAGGTATATATGGGAACATCCTACAATTGCAGGAAAAAGGTAGTAAAACTACTGAAAAATTTGGGTATTGTTACATTGTACATCGTGCAATACTCCACAGATTTTGAGCGGAGACATTCTGGTTAGGCTTTCAATATATATGTAACAATGAATTATATGGCAATCATTCTGTTTTCCAGTAGAATAAGTAGTTTAAACGACGGTCATTGGATTACCATCATATCCTTTCACCATTGCTTTCGCTTCTCTAGAAAGAGTATTTATTTCTACCTTTGAAAGGAAAAATCAGGTGACATAAATGAGCGTAATAGATTCTGATGCACGCTTTCAGTTTTTGATGAATCAGTTAAGCAGATTGACTATCATTTCAAACTTATGATCACAGTAGTTAGTCAATCGAAACGTAACGTGATCACAACGAGACAGATAATATTCGTTTTATTTATCTTGCAATTTTGTGCTTTGGTTATAATTTTGACCGCACTCATTTTGTATTATAACTGTTAATTGTTGATTCGTTCTGATTTCTGATTTTATTTTATATGTCGAAACACCACATCTTCTACGGCCTATCACCATTTCTTTTATTTGAGTCGTTATCTCGCACAATTCACGTTCGCCATTTACAAAAATCTTTTCAAATTGTCACTTCAGCTTGGCTGTCCATTAATGATTTTGTATCCCTTAATGAATCACGTTGAATGGTTGAATGTGAGTTGAGAATCCCCTTGAGATTGGCAAATAATCCCGAATCGCGGTATCCAACGAATAGCTCTCCGTTAGTGTTTCCACGGTACAGGTACATCGAAAGATATTTCTCGCCTTTTAGATAAGAACCAAGTAGCTTGCAGACAAGATTGGCACCGATGTACCGCCATATAAAGGTGTCCGGAAAATTGCTTAACTCAGTGTGGTCGAACAACCCTCTATACGTAAAATGCACGTTTCGTCAGCACTGGTGTTTGATCTCTCTAATGAAGTTTGAAGCAAATTGAGCTTCAAATATGGGCAGTTTGACCAATAAAGGCAGTATTGGCCGTATTCGGTGCTACACTGCAGAGATAATTTATTTAAGCAAATGCTAAGTGTCATCCCGATGGACATTTATTGTTTCGAATGAATGTCGCCAGTGAAATTTCCCCTGTCCACTGGGGCACACAAGAGTACCGAATGGATTCTGTTGATCTCCATGGTTATTCTTTCCTGAACATAACGTCGTGCCATTTTGACTTAATAATCTTTCAGTTGTGTGCTTGATGCGACACTGTGTGAGGTCTACGCAGTTTTCGTCAGTTTGATCTATCATGTTGATTTCATGAGCGAACTACTACTACCACACTGTATTACTGGCAAGTACTACCTGTATTATTTACAACTGTAGTCCTCGTCATCGCCGAATGATATTAGCGGCCACCAGACATTTCCATTTTTTCCCTATCGCATGTCAAGGTAGCCCACTGGATCGCTGTTGCTCTAGGAACTTCTTGATCATCATGCCTTCCTTCCAGACTAGTAAATGGTGAAATCTGATCTAGTACCGGTAGGTTGAAGTGATCCAAGTAGTGATCGCCGAACGATCTTAATCCATTACCTTTCTGAAAACTGCAACTGCTCCGTTCGGGCGACGTAATGCAATCCAACTTAGTCCTTGGAACCTGGCAAGGTTTGGGTAAACTTTGCAAATGCTTTTATTCCGCCTATTGCAACTTCGGCTATAACTTTATCTCTTTGAACCCTTTTTTTATCGTTTTCTGTGAAGTGTTTTTGGGTCGCGCGCTTTCACATTGTCGTATCAGATTGTTTATGGAGACAAACGTTTTTCAATAACTTTGGAACACCTTCATTTTCATAGCTCTAACGTGAAGATGTTGGGCGAGCCGACTCGTATTCTTTTTCTTTCATTCCAATATCTGATCGGAAAAAAGATCAAATAAACCCCAGTTGATGATTTTGGGCTGCAAAATTTTCGACCTTGGGCGAATAGAGAATTATTCCAGGTCCAAATAGAACACTTCAATTTCGTTCGTCATTGCTTGATAATGGTGCGTAAACAACGAAGATGATCAAAGCCGGAATTAGCTCACTAATAGCAAACCAGTATCAGAATGAGCGTTTATCAAGCTAACGAATAGGTGCTAATACCTTGTTCCTTGTTGTAAAATCACTCAAACCATTAGCCGAGCAAAAATTGCACTCTGAAAGTGAAACGTAGTTTTATTCTTGTTGCTGGACATCGCACTAACAAGTTCTTTCCAAAAATCAATAACGGTGTTGAATATGCCGAGATTTAAGTATCGAATGATTGCTAAAATCAAAGGAAAAAACGGTGAAAGATTTGTCACGAAAGGGTTAACTCTGCAGAGGTGGAGCGATTCAAATTAAAGAATATTTCCTCACCTATGTTACGGGATTACTTTTGATCAGCGATCACTTTCAGTCGTTTTGACAACTGCAAAGAGAGAAGGCTACAATAACCAATTATTGCAAAAATTGGCTTCAGAGAATCCATCAGTCAGAGCTTCAAAATTTTATGCTATCATACTATTGAAACAAAGAAACTTTATTGTAACTGTTCAGTTAGATGCGGCATTTTCAAATCTTGGTTGAAAACGCCCTTTGTATTGCCTCAGCTTAGTAAGATATGACCAACCATTTCCAGTGTTTACAAAAGTCCGTAGAGCTCTCAAGTCCTCAGGTACTTTATTCATCAAATAATTAACGATATTCAACAAAAATTTAGCTATGTCGTGAATGAACTAAGCTTAGAACACCTATTGAATTCCTTAGTCAATTGTTCTTTTTGCTCTCATCTCTCCGTTCTAGAAATTGTGAAGTTGCTGTTTTGAAAAACTGTTAATTTATGATGGGGAAACAATTCATTTTGAGTGTTAAACCATGCCGCATGTATCCCATAGCACCTCTCTGGCATGCACTGAGATACGTGTTAGGCACTTGCTGAGAATTTCGTATAAACGGTGGCACGAAAAGATTAATGAAAGAATTTCTCTCCTGATTTTTTTTACAAATTGTGTACTTGATTTTGTGTTCGCTATGTTTTCTGCGTTTTTTGCTTATTTCTTATCTTTTATTACTCTTAGCTGAATTTGCTTTTGCGTTTGGGGAAAAAACGCAAGCTCCGGTTTCCGCTTTTCGTGGTCGCTTGTATTCTCGATTCCGCGCTACACACTTTATAGCATGCTACATAGACTTGTTTCTCATTTCTATGACAAATCATCCTAACGAAAAGATTTAATGCCTTTCATTTGAATCGTCTATCGATCATCCATTTATTGTGCAAATATTTGCGACAGCTGGAACTCGAACCCACATTTCACCCTATACGGGGACGCGCGCTGAACCGTTGCACTACCGACGCCCGTTGTTGACACCACTAGGCGCTCAAATAGAAAGAATTCTGATTGATTATCAATACCCAATATTTGTAAGCACAAGTGGGTTGGATTTCGATATCGACTACCCATGGCCAGACTGTTGACGTTGGCTGTTGACAGATACGCGTTGTTGAGTGTAGAAAGAGTGGTGTCGAAACGGCGCTGGTAGGCGTTACGGGTACAGCACGCGGCCCGGATAAAGTGAAATATGGATTCGCATCCTAGTTGACGCATGTGTTTTTTGCACATCACCTTCATCTTTGAGTTAATTATAACATCTTACCACGCGAAAGGCGGGTCAAAAAAAATTCTCATTTATTTTATTATCCATATGCCTACCGCTACAACTCCACTTCTTCTATGATATACTACGCCTCACGCGCGGCATCAGAGGCACTTCACCTTTCATGAAAGATCGCTCAGCCATAACTGCAAATTCACGCTACAAAATTTGTTCATTGGTTAATCAAATGTCGAGCGGAGCGAGTCCTCATAAAAGTGAGTAAAACAGTGTCAAGCTTCAAGTTTTATCCCTAGCACTTGATGGTGGGCGTCAGAGTGGTTCGTTTGGAAAATCTGGCAAAATCAGGAATATTTTGAAAGTTGCAACCTAAGAAGAATTGAGTGGTGAGCAAAAGTACCCTCAGGCGGGAACAAAAATGCAGTAACACTAGAATTTCCAAAATCAGCACACATCAATCAACTTAAAAATTCTCAGTTTGCCAGGTTTTCAACCGAGTTCAGTGAGTTATTCTTGTATTATTTGAAACTGCTGTATAAGTCTAGAATTTCTTCAGAGATCACCATTGGCACCGACTTGGATCCATTTAACAAACCGGAGCATGTGAATACGTTGAAGGTGAATAACGTTTAGGTTTAAAACTATTGTTAATGGTTCTCGAACGAAGACATGCCTTCGACTCCTTCTAACACTAAGTTTTACCACTTTCCCCCAATATCGCTTTTGTTTTCGACATCGTATGAGGCTTTTTTGCACCTTGACATATTCTCAGTACAGTTTTTTTTTACTGTATATAAAATTACTATTATGGATCTTTTTTCACAAGAGTACTGTATATCAGATTAATACAGTAGGATCTATTCATAAGAGTACTGATATAGGATCGTAAGGTAACTTAGATCCCACGATTGCCTTTCGGTGAATCACTAGTTTTTTCCATTACTGCAACAGAGCCATCGTCCTGCCTTTCTCTCAAACGTGATTTGACCAGAGTTCCATAAGAACTAGTGACAGTTCCATTTTTTGATATTTTTATGTAACTAGGAGGTTAAACAGTAAAATTAGGATTTTTAGTAGCAAATTAGACCTCCAAGAACTGCTAACTGTTAGTATTTAGGGTCGTTCGCTGTACGTTTTGTCATTTTCTACACACTGGCTGTGTGCTTGATAGTAATGATGTTTGAGTTCTTCATGCCGGGCTCTTCAATCCCAACTATCCAAACATGCAGTGACGTCTTCACTTTGGTGAAACTAACCCACGTGGTCTTCTTCACTCCAACTCAGGACTTTACGCAGCCATCTTCCATCAATGTCTCTTCTTTTTTGATAAAAAAATTTTTGTTACGGGTGAATTTGCACTTCTCCATCATGACGAGGTTGTCTGGGATTGTGTCTCATATGTTTCGCACATCTATGTTATTTCAAAAACTTAGAAAAACTCCATTAGGGTCTTAGTATGCGCAGCGTATGCGTAATCAATGATATTCGCCCTTTTATTCTTGTCATTATCGATTCTGTATCACCAAACGTTTGGAGCTATCATTCTAGTATTGTACCTGACGTCATTGTTATAACTGTGATTATTGTTCACAAAATTGCCAGTGACTTGGAAATAAATTATGGCTATCGAGTAACACAATGCAGTGGTCATTCGTTCGCTACGGAGCCACACGATCACCAACCCTTCCATCCTCCGAGACAGACAGTTTGATACCTGCATTTATTCGTCTCTACGATGCCTCATGAAGCAGAATGGATGATTGACAGCTTAAAAATTGGTCAAAGCCGAACACTTCGTCCTTTATTCTCTTCATTAAATGTACCTCTGAAGAAAGGCAATTACATTATTATAGTTTTCTTCCTTGTCGATTTTTCGGATTAGAGCCGCAGCGTCTCGATGGGGAGCAACCTGAAAAGAAACTAACAAATTTTGCGGTTTACAAAAGCAATGTGTTCTTCTGCTGATTTTCTAGCTAGAAAGTCATGAAAAAGCGACTGCAGCAACAGACAAGTTATTGCACTCCTATCACAATGCAGAGAGGTAAGTTGTGACCCCACTGAAAATTGGTTTTTCCCTTCTTGGTTGAGAGTTACATTAGCCGTACTTTGACTTACGTCACTCAAAAGCTCTTAACAAGTCGTCTATATTAAGGTGAACAACCATCACCGAAGGCATGAGGCAATTTTGTGAAGTCGCTCGTAGAATCACTTTGCTTCTACTTCGAACCTAATTCACGTACCCGAATAAGGGATATTGCTGTCATCGAAGAACAGCTCAGCCTCAGATTTCACCGTGTCCAGAACACGCGGCCATATTGGTCTGAAATGTGTACAGCTTGGAGTACATTGAACGTGCAATCCCGCTACGTGAACATCATATACATAGTTTTCGTTGGAATATACTAAAGACGGCTCAAAGACTTTAATGAGCACTTTAAAGCATTTTTAGATTTGATTCTTTGTGTGATCTGAGCACGCATTTCAAATGTTGGCCTTATCGACATAAATCAAGCAAGTCCGTTTCCTCACAAATGGAGGATCTTTGAGTTTTCCCAAACTTCAGTTTTGTTCTTGAATTGCTCAAAATTTTATTACAAATACGAAGCATGTTACGAAATTATCAATGAATTAGTGGTTGTGTGGATATCATGACTCTAAGATTGAGAAGACTCTCGTGATAACTTTGAAACCGGAACTATTTATGACCATTCCTTTTCAATCTGAGTCAGAAATTTCCCAGCCCCTGCAAACTTTGTGCACTTGATCTCCGTCAAAGAATGAAGGATTGCTAGAAGACAGTGAGTGTGTAAGGTGGCTGTTTTCCATGCAACTGCAATCTCCATTTCGAATTTTCTATACCCCAATTACGAAATCAGCTCGCCGAGTAGACATATTCTTTGGTAATTGAGGGCTTAATGAAGGCGATGTTCGTCGAAGGTTAGCTATCGTTGAACAAATCGTGTTTTGACACTTTTGGGATGGCGTGTGCCCTTCCAGGTACACGACTAATTTGAGGCCTTCTTCGCTGCGTAGAACTCCTTTCAGTCTTTTTGCAAATTTTGAAAATTGAAACTTAGAGAATTTTGATACTGCGCTTGGATTCTTGAAAACCCTTTCGAAGGACATTGTAGGAGTGAAAATAATCTGAGTTTCTCATCTGGTTTGCTTTGTTTACTCGACTAAGGTTAGTGAACGGCCCTTCTTCAAACTTTGAGAACCATTTAATCGATAGCTCAAATTTTGAAAAATTCTCGGACTAAGGTAGTTTTGAAGGGCTCAATAAAAGTAACGTAAAAGCGAGAAGAATATTACTGGTAGCTTTTAGCCGTCGCTTAAACTTCAAACCGGTTCTTCAAAACTTCATAGCGGCAGTAGGCCAAATTAAAAACTAGTGCATGTATAAAGGCATAGCAGAGTATCTTTGGCAATGTTATTACAACAAACCTGAAAATTTCGCAAAATGGGTGAAGAATATCTCAATAAACTGCGAAATTGCAGCTCAATTATCTTGTGTTCAGCAATTCAATTTCCGTCCCGAAAGGACATGACTTTAATTTCTTTCCCTGTGTTTTCGAAAGATTACTACATGCTTTTGAGTTCTGATTCACCACATTTTTTACTACACGCTCATATCTTTATGGCATTATACTTCTAGGAGAGAAATGTCATATTATTTTCGATCTGCAGGAACCATTTGAGGAAAAAATCCAGTTTGAGGATCACCTTTCTTTAAGCTCTCCAGTAAGTGCTAGAACTGTGGTAAAAAGTCTTCCACAAACCCTTGCCGAACAAAAAATGCGCACAGTAGGTGTGACGTAATCTAATCTTCACGGCTACACCCACAATAGAAAGACGTTTTCAAAAACAATACCGTATTGAAATCGGATTTAAGCTACCGACTGAACTTCAGAAGTGTCAAATAGTGAAAGAGAATCCGTCACGAACGAGGGGCAGAACATATAAACATTTTTCATGAATTATTGCTTTAAGCTGATGAAATATGTACGCACAAATCGCTGAAACTGTAAACGTACTCGTCGTCCACGTAGCCAATCGGTTGTACAAATTGAGCAATTCGAGAATCAAAGGTATTTCGAGTATCTTGCTTTTCCCTGAGATGTTGTAGGAGTTGCTCTCTGGTCAAGCATAACCCTGTCCTAACGATGAAAACGACGATCATGAGCTTGATCATCGTATACAGTCTGAAACCTATGATCACATAATTTATGCATTTTGTGGATTTTTTATATCAATATTTGCTGCACGAATGATGTGAATGAGACAACCTAAATTTGAAAAGCTGGTGCTATTGCACTGAAACATTTAAAGATGAATAGATAAAATATTGAATGACTACGCGAAATGATCTCGAATCTCCCTCTTGAAGGGATCCCCCCACCCAATTAGTCGCGAGGGCACGTGGCGCGTTCCAGGTGGTGGAAGAGGGGAACAAACGCAAACCAAAAAGCGACCGTTTGCTTCTCAGAGACGCAGATGGATTCAGGAGGCGAGCCCCCTGCTTCTGCAACGCCAACTTGACAAAACTCTTCTTTTGCACGAGTCAAGTCGGCGAAAAGCCTGTAATCAAGCGGCTGGGAAGTACGTGGGAGGCGGTCAGAAGTCGCTCCCAACAAATAAGCTCCTCCCGCTCTCCCGAGAGAGACTGGCAAGCTACCCCGAAAGAGCCCCTGGAACGGCAGCGCCAGGTAAGACGAGCACGGAGAGGCTGCTGAAATCTCAGAG